CTTCAAAAGGGGACATGCCGGTGGCAGAGGAGCGGAGGGAGTTGTGGGCATACTCCACCCAAACCAAGTGCTGGCTCCAGGACGATGGATTGGACTCGACCAGGCAACGCAGTGTGGACTCCAGCTCCTGATTGCAGCGCTCGGCTTGTCCGTTAGCCTGGGGATGGTAACCAGAGGTGAGGCTAACGGACGCCCCGAGCGACTTGCAAAAGGAGTGCCAGACCTGGGAAATGAACTGTGGGCCTCGGTCAGAGACTATGTCCGAGGGAATCCCATGGAGCCTAAACACATGGAGGGTGAGCAACTGGGCAGTTTCAAGGGCAGAGGGGAGCTTAGGGAGGGGGACAAAATGAGCGGCCTTAGAAAAGCGGTCAACCACTGTGAGGATGGTAGTGTTGCCGTCAGATGGGGGAAGACCAGTCACGAAGTCGAGGGCGATGTGGGACCAAGGGCGACTAGGGGTCGGGAGGGGGAGCAGAGGGCCAGCCGGGGGTTGAGTACCTGACTTGTTCCTGGCGCAGACAGGGCAGGCAGAAACGAAGTCCTTGATATCATTGTTCATGGAGGGCCACCAGAAATGGGTCTTGGTGAGGGAGAGCATGCGGTTGACTCCAGGGTGGCAAGAAAGTTTGTTGGAATGGAGCCACTGGAGCACCTGGGACCGCACGCTGGAGGGAACGAAGAGGGTGCCGGGAGGACCACCACCTGGATCAGGTTCAGAGAGGAGGGCTTGTTGAACAGTGGCGGTGATGGGCCAAGAGAGAGAACCAACGATGCAAGAGGAAGGGATAATGGAGTTAGAAACCTCGGGCGAGTCAGGAGGAGCAAACTGCCTGGACAGGGCATCAGGCTTAATGTTCTTGGAGCCCGGGCGAAAGGTCAGAACAAAATTGAAGCGGTTAAAGAAAAGCGACCAACGGGCCTGACGGGGGGTCAGACGCTTGGCGTTCCGAAGGTAAATTAAGTTTTTGTGGTCCGTCCAAATCAAAAAAGGAGTCTCAGTGCCTTCTAGCCAGTGCTGCCATTCCTCAAGTGCGAGTTTGACCACCAACAGCTCGCGATTGCCCACGTCGTAATTATGTTCCGCCTGAGAGAGACGTCGAGAGAAGAAGGCGCAGGGATGGACCTTGTTGTCCAGAGGAGATCGCTGGGAAAGGACCGCCCCAACCCCAGTGTCGGAGGCGTCCACCTCCAAGATGAACTGGTGCGCGGGGTCAGGGTGGCAGAGGATGGGCGCCGAGGAAAAGAGGGACTTAAGTCTTGAGAAGGTGGCCTCAGCCTCCGGGGTCCAGTGAAAGGCTCGGGCGGTTGAAGTGAGCTGAGACAGGGGGGCGGCGACACGACTGTAATTTTTAATAAACCGCCTATAGAAATTTGCAAAACCCAGGAAGCGTTGTAACTGCTTCCTAGACTCGGGGGTTGGCCAGTCGACTACCGCTCTGGTCTTCTCGGGGTCGGTTTGGCAACGACCTCCCTCAAAAATAAAACCTAAAAATGAGACAGTGGAGGTGTTAAACTCACACTTCTCTGCTTTAACGAATAATTGGTTCTCCAGTAGCCGCTGAAGAACCGTGCGAATGTGGGCCGTGTGTTGAGTGGGGTCGCGGGAATAAATAAGGATGTCGTCTAGATAAACGAAAACAAAATTACCAATGAAATCGCGCAGGATGTCATTAAAGAGCACCTGAAAAACAGCGGGGGCATTGGTTAACCCAAAAGGCATAACTAAGTACTCAAAATGGCCCAAAGGAGTGCGAAAGGCTGTCTTCCACTCGTCGCCCTCTTTAATACGGACGAGGTGGTATGCGTTTCGGAGATTGAGTTTAGAAAAACAGGAAGCTGACTGTAACTGTTCCTGAAGAGAATCAATGAGAGGATATTTATTTTTAATGGTTATATTATTTAAGCCGCGATAGTCAATACATGGCCGGAGTGATTTATCTTTTTTGGAAACAAAAAAAAAAAACAGCTCCCACAGGGGAGGTCGAGGGTCTAATAATGCCTGAGGCAAGAGATTCATTAATATAGTCGGACATAGACTCTCTCTCGGGACCAGAAAGGTTGTAGAGTCTACTTGACGGCAAGGGGGCGCCAGGTAATAAGTCAATCGCGCAGTCATAGGGACGGTGAGGAGGAAGTGACAAGGCGCATTGTTTACTAAAGACGGCCGCCAGGTCGCGGTATTCAGCAGGAACTGAGGTAAGGTCGATCTCCTCTAGAGGAGGCGTGTCTCGAGGGAACTCTTTAACGGCGGAGCGCAGACAGTTGCTGAGGCACTTGTCGCTCCATTTATCAACACAGACACGCTCCCAGTTAATAACTGGGTTATGGTTACGAAGCCAGGGGAAACCTAAAATTACTTGGGGTGTACGAGAATTAAATATAAAGAAATCTGTCATCTCATGATGATTTCCCGAGATAATGACATGTAACTCGGTGGTCTTTAAATTAATACGGGTCAACGTGTCTCCGTTTAAGCCGGCGACAGAAATTGACGGAATCTCGCGAGTGGGTAGAGAATATTCTTTGACTAAATCGGCGCTGATCAAGTTTTGTTCAGCACCTGAATCGATGAGAGCAGAGAATGAGAAACAACGGTTCTGTGTCTGAATGACCATGGGAAGTAATAGTTTGAATGGGGAGGTTAACGCAGATGTTCCCACCAGTAACTCCCGCTTTACTGGTGGAAGTTCTCGTTTCCCCGAAACGGACAGTGGGGCAGAAAATGACCGGGATTACCACAATAAATGCAGAGATGGGCAGATACACACCGCTGTCTCTCTGCAGGAGTCAGCCGTGCGCGCCCCACCTGCATAGGCTCGGGGGAGCGATCCCGTGAGGGAAGAGAAGATGATTGGCTGTGACCAGGAAGCAAGGAAGACTGGGAGTTGTAGTTCACAGGGGATTGTTTTGGTGAAACGGACTCATAGCGAGGGGTCGTAAACCCGGAAGTGGAAGGATTATGGGATACGTAGTGCTGAGGTGCAGGCTTGGGCTCACCTGGAGAAGTCGAAAACCCGGAAGTCGAGGGTCGATGGGAATTGTAGTTTGCCTCTCTCCTTCTCTCCCGGAAATGGTCATCGATTGAGATGGCAAGGTCTATCAGTTTGTCGAAAGTCTCGGGTTCATCTCGCGTGGCCAGCTGGTCTTTGAGAAAATCAGACAGAGCGTTAAGGAAAATACCTTGGAGGGCGGGCTCGTCCCATCCTGTTTGGGCAGCAAGGATCCGAAACTCCAGAGCGAACTCCGAGGCATTGCGACGGCCCTGTCATAAATTCAACAACCGCTTGGCGGCATTTGAAGTCTGCAGGGGACGGTCAAAAATCCTGCGAAACTCTCGAAGGAAAAGTTCATAGGAAGCAGGGGGGTTATCATGACTCAAGAGGAACGAGTGAGCCCACCGGAGAGCATTACCTTTGAGTTGGCTTACGAAGAAGGTGATTTTGGCCGTGTCCGACGAGAACTGGGAGGGAGCCCCCTCGAAGGCGAGTCGGCACTGGAGCAAGAAGCCGCCACATTGGTCAGGGTCTCCGGTGAAGAACTCAGATGGTTTAACGAATTTGTTGAACAGGAGGAGTGGAACCAAGAGCCATGGGGGCTGGCGGAACGACTGGAGCTGAGGAGGCAGAAGCTTGCAGCTGACGTTTAATGGAATAAATCATACCTCCGAGCTCCTGAAGGTTGGACTGGACCGTTGTCTGGTGAGTCAGCTCCTGATGAATAACTTTGTCCATCCTGTCGATCCGCTCCTCTGCGGGACCGGGGGGTGTCTGCTCGCTCTTGGTCTCATTCTGGGTCTGTTTTGGCTGGAGCATTTCTGTTAGGAGTGCGCGGGGAACCCAGATGATATGAGACCCAGAACGAGGCAGACACAGGGGAAGTACAAAAGAACAGTGTTTATTATGTACAGTGAATTTTAAACGTCCACAAGCTGCTTCTCAGAGGCTCCTGGAAAGAGGGACGACAGGTTAATAGTTGTCCAACGGGGAAGGCCAGAGTGGTTTGTTTAATGAGCGTTTGTCCTTACAGTCCAAAGCCCGAGGAGGTGAGCTGGTCCTTCAGTCCAGGGAGAGCGAGCAGCAGAGGGAAGTCCAACAAGGGTCCAAAGGGAAACGAGGAAGGCTGGCAACTGGAGGCAAAGAGGCACGAGGGGTACCTGACAGGCCGAGGGATACAGGTCAGGTCACGAGGGAATCCAAAAAGCACGAGGAACCAGGAAACTGGAAAATAGAGCAAAGGTGAACAAATTCTTTTCACCAAGACATTTGCCTCACAACAGTACTATACCATAAGAGGTGATATGCTCCAGCCATGAGTCACACCGGACTGCAGCCTTAAGTAGATGGAGAGGCTCATCAGGCTGATGGCCGCCGGGTGTTGGTAATCAGCGGCCATCAGCAAGGCAGGCTGCAGGCAGTGGGACCCTTACAAGAATAGCTAAATACAATGAATCTAAGTGTGTCTGTTGTGAAGTCAGCCTACTGGACCTGAGACGAACAAAGACGGTTACATATATGACTTTTGTTTCAAAGCTAAAGTATATATAAATTTAGCTCCAGAGTTAATAGCATTAGCTTCAGAGCTAAATACATGGTGTTAGCAACATGAGCGAATACATTAAAAAAATCACAAGTTGATGAAGTTTCGTTGTTTTGACCCATATTTTGAGCATCAGGACTAATACAAAATATAACTTTATTGTCACATGTAACTTTTTAGTCTTGTGTTTTAGTCTCCTCTACAACCTATACATCATCGCCCCAGAATGCATTGCGTCGGTAAGAAAATGGTGACGTCCTTAGGTGAAAAATGTAATAAACATATATAATATTTAAAGAAATTATGAGTTTTCAGGTGTCCCAAACAATAGTTTTTATTGTAATAGAGAAAAAAACAAAACATTTTATGGCCAATATGTGCAAGTAGTCCGAGATCCCTTTAAGATGCTGCATTTTGTAAATTTTGTCTCAGTTTCATGCCCCATCATGTCAGATGCTTACCTGTGATTCTCCCAAGTGATCCATTAAAGTTAGCCCCAACAAATCCAGCAATATGAGCTCCAAGGCTGACTCCAATCATGTGGATTGAGCTCAGAGAAGCACCGTGATCCTGAGAAGACAAAATATTATAGATGTTATACACAGAGCTGTCCATGATGCTCATTTGTAGGTGTTAAATGTCCCAAATACCTGCATCATTTGAACGAAGGCTGTGATGTTATCTGACACTTTGTATGTGTTCCTCACGGTTTTCACATAATCCAGATTAGCAGCTCCGTAGTTCCAGTCCACCATTATAGCATTGATGTCCTCCCTGTCCAACAACATCTTTGTGATGTTCAGCCACAAAGGAGGAGACCCGGTGGGCCGGTACCCATGGATGATGAAAGTGGTGGGTTTGGACATGTTGAACTGGGGGTGCTGCGCTAGGTCGGAGTGGGATAAGAGATCGCCACAGGTGTCGTTGTGTCTGGTGTACAACAACAACCTGACTCTGGGGCTGGTACCGATGAATGCATGCGCGAGGTTTAGATCTGTAAATTCATGACATTTCTGAGCTGAAAACAGGGAGAAGAGAGAGAGAAATTAGTTTTTTATGTTAAAAGTGGCAGAATCTTTGCAACATCTGGTGACTTTCTGTTTCTGTCTTGGACTGTGTGACTAAGGGGATTCACTGAAACCTTCTCCTTCTTGAGCATGTGATCAGCTGGTTTTGGTTGTCAGCAGCAAAACTGGTTGATCCACCCTGAGACGGTGCTATTTAAGAGACTGAGCTGAATACAGCTCCTCAGACTGAGGAAGTCTCTCGGATGAGAGACGAAACGTTTCTACATTTTTTTGTTGATTTGCTTTGTTTTTTTTTTTTTTTTGAATGTCCAGAGGACCAGATTTAACTTTTTTAGACTTCTCCTGCTTGGTGCATCACCAGCATTTTGGCTGGAAAGCAGTTTAGCTTTACAGAATTTTACTAATGAATTTAGTTTATCATACGGTATGCTGATGTCCCCCGTCACTGAGGGATTTAACAAATCATCACCAATAGCACTTCTGATATTAGATGGAATTGTACCGTCAGCTGCTCTCTTGCACAATCACAGTTACATGTCATTATGTAATTTCTCATAAATACGCAGAAAACCCCCAAACCTGCTGATCTTCTCAAGAAGTGTCAGTTCTCTAGCTATGGTTTTACTATAGCAAGGCTACACTTGTGATGCACTTTAGTATGAGAAGCCACCATGTTTGTGTGTGTGGGTGTAATTATCACACACGCACGAGGAGTTACTGGATGTCTGCAACCTACCTTTGTATGTGTGAGCGGTTATCAGCAGGACAAGAGTCAGATGTCGCCACAGGAACATGTTTGACAGCAGCAGGCAGACTGTGGACAGAGCTGTTAGTGTTAAGACGAACAAGAAGTACACTGATGTCCCCCGATGATGAAGGATTCAAACAGTGAATGTTTGCAGTTTTCGAGATGAGTGTTTTTCTGGACTGTAACTGAACAGGGAATGCAAGTAAACCTTAATGTTTTTGGTGCAAGATATTCAAATGGGTAGGAGCTACACTGAACAAGAATAATAATACATTTAGTATGTTTTTATCCACCACCAGACACAATGGCGGAGCCAGGAGGTGGTCTGATTAGACACCCCTCCTTTCCCCCTTCCCCACTGGCCACCCCAATCATTTGAGGAAACTATACTTTATAGAAATATGACTATTAGAAAGCATAGTTTTTTCTCACATGATTGGGGTGATTGGTGCACATACTGTATATATGGTGGATGAGTTAACTCACAAGGTTTACTGCTGATATTCAACTTATCTGTGCTGCTTATTATCCATGCTGCTGATCTCTTGCCTCTAAGCTGCTATATTTATACCCATTTGCTCACTACAGACTCATGTTCGGGCTGCTGTTTAATGTAACATATTTTACATTAGCGTACATCCTAGATCTTCGTATACTGTTTCTTTTTATACTTTATATTGTTGCTATTTTTGGGTGTAACTGGGACCTTGAGTACACAGTTTCATTCCACCTCATCAGAGTCAGAGAGATTTATTTGTCATTCTCATCACATGTGGTACATGTGGTGGAATGAGATTATGTACACAGGGTCCCAGTTACATCCAACAATAAAATGTAAAAGGAAAACAGTAATAAGATCTAAGATACGACCTAAGAAAAACATAAAATAAATAATACACTAAGCACTAATAGCTAGGCCTGTCATGATAACAAATTTTGCTGGACGATTAATTGTCTCAGAAAATATTGCAATAAACGATAATATTGTTTAAAATTTTACCATAATTAGTAATTATTGTCAAATTTAAGAAAAAATGTTGGTTAATTTTTGTGTGTAGTACCTTTTTTTTTACCACATACAGTAAGACTGTTTGATGGATAGTGAGGGAGTGAGCAACGTGTCATGTACCGCATGTGATGTGAATGACAATAAAGGACCTTGAGCTTTACATAAAAATGTACATGTATGACAGCAGCCATCTTGGATTTTGAGGAGGCGACCAAATTTTTGATTGTGAGCTTAGATGCAGCCATACATCAAAATGGAATTTAGCACTTTGCTCGTTTTTCAAGTTATTCAGGTTACAACAGTAACAGATATACATCCATGCATGGTGGCAGCCATCTAGGCTCTTTACGTGGCACCCCAATTTTTCAGTCTGACAACATTTGCTCAAGAGGGTTTCATGCAGACACAACAAGCTGCAGCTTTATTTTTCACTGACAAATCACAGAGCCTGGTTACTCATCTACTTACTCCCTGGTTTGATAAAAGCAAAAGTTTAAATAGATATCTACTTATGGAGCAGGCCGAGGTTACCTACAGGCCAAGACAATCAGTTCAACTGTCTGACTCCACCCTCTGAGGTTAATTACAGCCAATGACACCTACAGAAACCTGCAGCTTTTGCTCCTTGGACTCCATGGTCTATCTGTTTTTTTCTGCTATAACACGTCATATGTTTACCAGGTGTTCAGTCTCCTGTTTGAAGACATTTCTAAAGATTGTCAGGAAGACAAAACATCAGTCTTACCTCTGCTGTGGGGTGATTTTCTGTGGCTCTGTGTCAAAGCTCCAGAGTGATACTTTGTTTGTGCCTCCACATATTTTGGGAAGCGCTGACTTCAGGAAGTGAGAGAAGAAATGGAGGAGTAACACTCCCTCTCAGTGTGTGTGTAACCACACCCCTTGTCCCTGAGTCCTTACTGTGCTCACAGGTGAAAACCTCCCTGAGAAGTCAGGCCTGTTTTCTGGGAAATCAAAGTAGAAATGTGACCGTCTCCTTCTTTTAATTTAAACATCTGGAAACACAATCTCTTAGTTTTTGTTCTTGTAGAGGAGCTCAAATAGGGGGAAAAAAAACACTGTAAGGGGCCTTTTCTCAAATATTTTCATTTCTGCAGCTAGTAAAAGTTTTCAAATACCATCTTACATGATTGAGGTTAAAGGGTATTTCAGTATTTTTGTCCCTGTTGATTATCTGAGCAAGTTCAGAACTATTTAAAGGTCTAGTACTCCATTATTGCCACTTTTCACACCAGAGTTTTAAAACAAGATGTTGAGAAATGACAGCGTGTAAGCTGTTTTAGCATGTATAGTATGTGTTGTGAATGACTCAGCTGCTACCACATCAAATTTTAGCTCTGTATCTGTAAAACTGACTGAGTCAGAACTGTTTATATGTAGGCTAACAACGATTATCTGTGGTGGCCATCTTGAATAGGATTATTAACAAGTTGTTTTCATTCAACCTTTATTTACAGGTTAGTCTCACTGAGTCACGAGGACTCATTTACAAGAGAGACCTGTTTTAGACAGACAACATATAAAGTACAGACAACAATAAACTACAGTAAAATGCAATTAAAATGAAAATAGTGTTATAAAACAATAAATCAAGGTGCCATATAAAACTACCGGTAGGTAAATACTAAAAACAAGAGCATATTTGCTTTGATGTTTCTGATGACATTATCAAATGTTTAAAATCCCCTAAAGAATTTAAGATGGACAACTTCAGATCTTGTTACAAGGTGTTTCACATTACAGGAGCAGAGTAAGAAAAGGCCTTTTTGCCAAGTTCAGTCCACACTGAGGGAACGCTGCAGGTAATGAAGGCCTGAGAGTGCACGCTGTAACTGCACTGATGACATGACATGTGGGAGGAGATATAAGAAGGCAGCAGACCACGCAGAGATTTATAGATGAAAATGAACCTGTGTGAGAGCCTACATGTAGATTATGATGACCAACTGACCAAGGAGTATAGGGTGCAGTGATGGGTACAGTAGTTACAATCAGTTATTAAACTTAGCACGCCATGGTAGACAGCATCCAACATCTGCAAGGAGCTGGCAGGGGCATTCATGTAAATAATGTCACCATAATCAATGGCTGGTAGGAAAGTAGCAGTTACAAGACATTTTCTGGCATTCAGAGTTAAGCAAGATCTATTTCTGAAAAAAACAACAACAAAAAAAACAGTTTTAATTTCAGTTTCTTTATCAAGTTTTTGATATGTGGTTTAAAAGAGAGATGTACATCAACCAAAATTTCCAAGTATTTGTAAGAATCCACATGATGCATGGATGAGATAGGAGGAAGAACTGCTGGCACCAACTTCCTGTTTGAAAACAACATCCCTTTGGTTATGTCAGCATTTAGCACCAGTTTGAGACGGAATAAGTCAGACTGAATGAGGTCATATACAGACTGTAGAAGCTGGAAACCCTTGACAACCATGTTAGCTCAGCAATAAACAACTGTATCGTCTCCATAGAGATACAAGGAGGCGTCAGCAATGTTTTGACCTACATTACCTATATAAATTGTAAAAAGAGTGTGTCCTAAAACTGAGCCTTGTGGCACACTATTTGTGACATTAGTGATTACCATCCATCCATTATCTTTACCCGTTTATTCCATTTTGGGTCACGGGGGTCGCTGGTGCCCATGTCCAGCAATCACTGTGCGAGGGGCGGGGTACACCCTGGACAGGTCACAAGTCCATCACAGGGCCACATAGAGACAAACGAGACAAACAACCATTCACTCTCTCACTCACACCTAGGGACAATTTAGAGTTACCAATCAGCCTAACATGCATGTTTTTGGTCTGTGGGAGGAAACCGGAGTACCCGGAGAAAACCCACGCATGCACGGAGAGAACATGCAAACTCCACCCAGAAGGCCCCTGGACCGGGGTTTGAACCAGGAACCTGTTCGCTGAGAGGCAGCAGCTCTACCAGTTGCGCCACCGTGCTGCCCCACATTAGTGATTACTTTAAATATTATTCAAGTAATTTAAACAAAAATGTGCAATCTTTTAGTGATCAGAATGTATTTGAGAACAGTCTCAGTGACTACCACACCAAATTTTAGTTCCATATCTTTAAAACCGACTGAAATGAAGCCGTTTTGGTGTGTTTATGAATCAGATAGCTGTGGTAGTCATTTTTAATCAAGTTAAAAGTTGAAGATGTCAACTCAGTCTGACTTTAGGAGTTTTGCTATAATTCACCCAGTGGTTTATGACATATTTAGGTGACAGACAGATACACAAAGACAAAAATCAACACAAAAGTCTTGATTTATGTTCCTTTAGAACCTTAAAAATATGTACAATAAAGCTAAACCTCATTCTACTGTATGTAAATCTTTTTTTTTTTCAGATCTTCCTAATTCCACATCCTCTCTCTGTAAATCAGGTTATCTTACACTTTATTTCCACATCAATGACTGCATGTCAGCAGTGTTTTGTTCAAACATGCTTCACACCTTTCAAGATGACAAGACGACAGAAACGAGTGCTTTGGAATGTGGATTTCCTGGTTTTGGCCTAATTGGTTTGTTGTACTTTGATTGAAACAACCCAGAGGTTATGCTGACATTAAACAGTTCTGGTACTAACAGACTTCATCGCTGTTTGATGAGTAAAAATAAAAAACGACGGAGGCTGATTTAAGCATGTTTGTTTATTTCTTACTGGACTGATGAGCCAACAGTCAGTTTGTCTGAATCCAAAATGTCTGGACAATAAATGTCTTGCCTGTCTTACATAATTCTTTGAACAACCTCAGTAGGAGAAAAAAATGTTTAATTCCAACCAGAACAATGTAAGGCCAGGACCAGATTTGATCAAGTAGGTATCTCTGCAAACAAATACGTAAGGTGTATATGGATGGCCACATCTGATTGGACGATGAGAAAAAAGGCATTATTGGCAGATTGTGTTAACCACAGGCATATTATGTCTATGGCGTTAACCGGTTTGACATTAGCAGCGTCTCCATAACATCACTTCCCGCCTCTCTTAACACAGAACTTCCAGTTACATTTCAAAATAAGAGCAACATAAATGGGTAGTGGGGAGGGCTAAATGTTTTTTTTTTTTTTAATAGCCATCACATTAAAAAACAAAATCTGGTTTGGTTGTTGAATAATGTGAAAATAGTTACAATCAATTAATAAAGAAAGAAAAAAATAAAGTAACCAAAATAATAATGATACTTAAACTGGCTTTGGGAAAAAGGATGTTTCCTTTAACTTCACGTGTTATTGTTAAACCTTTTAAATCAGTTACTGCAGATGAGTGATTGTCAGTTTCTGTAAGATTTCTGCAACTGGAGCAGGTATTTCTGTTTACTGGTTAACTTCCTCAGCTGTCTCAGATTTTAAGGATCAACCCTACTCCATGTTACAGCTCCTTTCATAGATCAGATCTCATAGAAGAACACTTCTAAAGAGAACATTTTGTTTTTAGCTTTTGTTTTGGGCCGTTATCGCGTTACAGGACTCATGAACTTTAATTGAGACCAGACTTTTTGACAAATGGAGCAGGTTTCGCTTCAGATGCTTCATATTTCATTTGAACCCAGACCACCCTCAAACCAACCTGTGTCAGGTGCAGCCTACAACCCAAGAACAAAAGAGAATCTTCTTGCGTATGACAGCAGATATAATGCTGGTTCTTACAAACTTTCAGTTTTAAAAAAGAGCTGACGTAACTTATCTAAAGAGCCAGCAAATACAGCTAGCCAATCAGTGTTTGTCCTCTAGAAACACCCACTTTTGGTCTGCAGAGAACCGCTTCTCGATTGGATTGCTGCTATCTTACATCTCCCATCTAAACCATTTTATAGCAGCTGCCACAAAACACATAGTATGAACCTTAATGTCACAGCAAATTTTACATCACGTGGTTATTTGTCACAATTTCAGGAGGTTTGAAATAAGGTTGCAGACAGAACTCAAAAGCTTGAAGTAAAAAAACAAAAAAAAGAAGACTGCTGAGGGAGCAAAACAAAACTAACAACGTATCTCTTGCAAGAAAGCTCAAGGAGGAACACAGAGAGGGAAACCACAAATGACTGGTATGCAGAATTAACAGGACATGAGATATAAAGGGACACTAATGAACATCAATCACAAACAGCTGGGAGAAGACTCCAAAAAAGTTCAATCTGGTCCTCTGGACATTCAAAAAAACCCAAAAAACAAAACAAAGCAAAAAAATCTAGAAACGTTTCGTCTCTCATCCAAGAGACTTCCTCAGTCTGAGGTGCTGTTTTCAGCTCAGTCTCTTAAATAGCACCTTCTCAGAGTGGATCAACCAGTTTGCTGCTGACAACCAAAACCAGCTGATCACATGCTCAAGAAGGACCATCAGCCTAACAATGGGTCATTAGCACACTGATGGCTGTTTACTACTCACAGAGGGCTGAGTGATACTAGCAATCACAGCATTGTAAGAGGGGGACAGTTGAACCCGGAGGCCTCCACCCCTGTTTAATGATGGACGATTTCTTTTCACAAAGATGGCCTCCTTTACTCCTCTCTCAAACCATCGTTCCTCTCTGTCCAGGATGTGAACATCTTCATCCTTGAAAGAGTGACCGCTGGCCTGGAGATGAGTGTAGACCGCAGAATTCTGGCCTGATGATGTTGATCTTCTGTGCTGGGCCATCCTTTTGGCCAGTGGCTGTTTTGTTTCCCTGATGTAAGACTGATCACAGCCCTCCTGACACTGAACAGCATACACAACATTACTCTGTTTGTGCCGGGGGACTGGATCTTTGGGATGAACCAGTCTTTGCCGTAATGTATTTTGGGGTTTAAAAGCCACTGGGAAGTTAT